TGGCAAAACACTTGTGGCAAAACACTTGTGGCAAAACACTTGTGGCATTACCACCTTACTTTTGTGCTCTATTCCTATTCATGAAACATAATATCCTATTGGCCTTCTTTTAAACAGTTTATTTATCTGTACCTATTGTTTCAGGGAAGTTTATATTTCAGTGTCTAGGTGTCACACTTTTCAATGTATTTCCATTTGGTGTGTACACTATATTTTTTCTTCTAAATACTATATTGTCTCAAACTAATCACGTAAGGTGCGTCCATCTTCCAGCTAAAGTCATAGTGATATACAGCACGGAAACAGACCCTTTAGTCGAACTTGTCCATGCGGACCAGATATCCTATATAAATCTAGTCCCATTTGCCAGCATTTGGCCCATATTCCTCTCAACCCTTCCTATTCATATACCCATCCAGGTGCCTTTTAAATGTTGTAATCGCACCAGCCCCCACCACTTCCTCTGGCAGCTCATTCCATAAATGCACCACCCTCTATGTGAAAAAGTTGCCCCTTAGGTCCCATTCATACCTTGCCCTTCTCACCTTTAACCTATGCCCTCTAGTTTTGGACTCCCCCACCCCGGAGAAAAGACCTTTCCTATTTGCCCTATCCATGCCCTTCGTAACTTTATAAACCTCTATAAAAAAAAAAATAGCCCCAACCTATTCAGCCTCTCCCTATAGCCCTAACCCTCCAACCCTGGCAACATCCTAGTAAATCTTTTCACAACATCCTTCCTATAGGAAGGAGACCAAAATTGCATGCAATACTCCACAAGTGGCTCAACCAATGTCCTGTACAGCTGCAACATGTCCTCCCAACTCCTATACTCAATGCACTGACCAATAAAGGCAAGCACACCAAACATTGTCTCCACTATCTTATCTACCTGTGAATCAACTTCCAAGGAGCTATGTACCTGCACTTCCAGGTCTCTTTGTTCAGCAACACTCCCCAGGACCTTACCATCAGGTGTATAAAGTCCTCCCCTGATTTGTCTTTCCAAAATGCAGCACCTCACATCTAAATTAAACTCCCTCGGATCATTGGCCCATCTGATCAAGATCCTATTGTACACTGAGGTAACTTCCTTCACTGTACACTACACTTCCAATTTTGGTGTCATGTGCAAACTGACTAACCATACCTCCTATGCTCACACCCAAATTATTTATATAAATGACGAAAAACAGTGGTCCCAGCACCGATCACAGGCCTCCGGTCTAAAAAGCAACCCTCCACCACCACTGTCTGTCTTCTACCTTCCAGCCAGTTCTGTATCCAAATGGCTAGTTCTCCCTGTATTCTGTGTGATCTAACTTTGCTAACCAGTCTACCATGACGAACCTTGTCAAACACCTTACTGAAGTCTATTTAGATCACATCCACCGCTTTGCCCTCGTCAATCCTCTTTTTTTGAAGAAGTAACAAACAACTCAACCAAGTTAGTGAGACATGACTTCCCATGCACGAAGTCATATTGACTATCCCTAATTGTCCTTGCTTTTCCAAATACATGTCAATCCTGTCCCTCAGGATTCCCTCCAATAGCTTGCCCACCGCTGATGTCAGGCTCACTGGTCTGTAGTTCCCTGGCTTTTCCTTCCCACCTTTCTTAAATAGTGGCACAGTCAGCCAACCTCCAGTCTTCCGGCACCTCATCTGTGGCTATTGATGGTACAAATATCTCAGCCAGGGGTCTAGCAATTTCTTCCCTTGCTTCCCACAGAGTTCAAGGGTATACCTGATCAGGTTGGGGGGAATTATCCACCTTTATGCATTTTAACACATCCAGCACCACCACCTTTTTAATATGGACGTTTTTCAAGATGTCTCTATTTATTGCCCCCCTGTCATGTTTTATCTTCCATATCCTTCTCCACAGTAAACACTGATGCAAAATACTTGTTTAGTATCTCACCCATGTCCTGCATTTCTACACATAGGCAGCCTTGCTGATCTTTAGAAGGCCCTATTCCCTCCCTAGTTACCCTTTTGTCCTTAATGTATTTGTAGAATCCCTTTTGGATTCTCCTTAACTCTATTTGTAAAGCCATTTCATGTCCCCTTTTACCCTCCTGATTTCCCTCTTATGTATACTCATACGGCCTTTATAGTCTTCTAGGATTGGCTTGATTCCTGCAGTCTGTACCTGACATGTGCTTCCTTCTTTTTCTTGACGAAAACCTCAATTTCTCTGGTCATCCAGCATTCCCTTCACCTACCAGCCTTGCCCTTCACCCTAATAGGCTCATACAGTCTCTGGACTCTCGTTATCTCATTTTCGAAGGTTTCCAGCCGTTCCTTTACCTGCGAGCATCCACTCCCAATCTTGCCTAATATATTAAAAATTAGCCTTCCTCCACTTTAGAACTTTAACTTTTAGATCCGGGCTATCCTGTTCCATCACTATTTTAAAACTAATAGAATTATGGTCTCTGGCCCCAGAGTGTTCCCCCGCTGACACCTCGATCACCTGCCCTGCCTTATTTCCCAAGAGTAGATCAAGTTTTGCACTTTCTCTCGTAGATGCATCCACATATTGAATCAGAAAATTTTCTTCTGCACACTTAACAAATTCCTCTCCATCCAAGCCCATAACGCAATGGCAGCCCCATTGTGTTTCGAAAATTAAAATCTCTGACCGTAACCACCCTATTATTCTCACAGATAACTGAAACCTCCTTACAAATTTGTTTCTCAAATTCCTGCTGACTATTGAGGGGTTTATAGTACAATTTCAATAAGGTGATCATCCCTTCCTTCTCCGTTCCACCCAAATAACTTCTCTGGACGTATTCCCAGGAATATCCTCTCTAATTATAGCAGTAATGTTATCTTTAATCAAAAACACCTCTTCCCCTTTCTATCCTTCCTGTAGGATCTATACCCTGGAACGTTAAGCTGCCAGTCCTGTCCGTGTCTGAGTCACGTCTCTGTAATTGCTACAATATCCCAGTCCCATGTTCCCAACCATGCCCTCAGTTCATCTGCCTTGACTGTTAGGCCTATTGCATCGAAATAATAGTTTGATTTGTCAGTCCTACCTCGTTCTCATGGGCAACTTGAACTTAGATGGAGGAACTGTTCTATATTTTAATATTAAACTTAAAATTCATTAAACAGATTAATGCTTTAAGATTACAAGGGCATTTGTATGTTATGGATTTGCAAAGTCAAGAGAAAATTTGAGAGTCAAGATGAAATTGTAGTTTAATACACAGTCCTTTAAATTCGAATTTGGAGTTGAATCAGGGCAAATGACGTTTATGTCTGGCTTTTTAGGTCCTGTATAAAGCCGTTTTTGACTATCCGAATTTAATTCCAATGCAGAGCATTATGGAAAAAGGAAATACTTTTTGTGCTCATCAGAGAGTTTGCTGGTGCTGAGTGAAATTTTCATCTTTAGTGCAGTGTTTCAGTAAAAATAATTGGATTTAAAAGGCAATTATGGCCTGTAAGTTAATAAAATTTTAACTTCCAAAATCCAGTTTTTGCTGAAGTAGAGCTTCTGTTGAAAGCTGAACAGAGGAACATATGCAAAATTTCAATGCTTCATAAGGGAATCAGCTCATGCTTATGGAGTTAGGGTAAAACATTTACTGTACTCTGAGTAGCAGCATATTGTATCAAAATACAAAAGTGGTAAAGCAACACATGAATACAGAAATGAAGATCATTAACAGCAGCTTGTGCTTGAATATGAATGTTCCTTGATTTTTTTTTATCTATTAAACTGAGCGTCTCTGTAGCAGTATAGGTTAAACATGTATACAGCATGAGCTGGAGTACAAACAATTGCTCAAATAGTTTTCAGAGTAAACTGTTTAACCATGTTAGTTAAGTTGTTTTGCCGTCTTCTCCACAGCAAAGAAAATGCCAAAGAATGATCCTCAAAATCCAGCAACTGCCGCCAGAAATCGAGGGGTAAATCTTCAGGAAACAAACCAGCAGAGTCAAAGGGGTTGCTGTGGCAATTAACAGTATTTGGACCTCGAACAAATGAACAATAGAGAATATGGATATTGGAGATTTTCTTTCCTTTTTATATTATTAGCACACTTTACTGTGCTAATTCCTTTTATTCTCTTCCATTTTGGACTACTGCATGAGTCATTCTTCTCATGGTTGACTACAGGTCTCTTCTGCTTTTACCTGGCACCTGTAGAAAGTAAATGATGTAAATAGCGTGTCAAATCATTATGTAAAGGTTAGTTACCCCTTTTCACCAGATTCAATGAAGGCCTTCTCTGCAAATCAAATTTTGTTGAGGAAAGATATTCTCCCACTCTTTCCTGCTCTTATACTCAATCCACTATAACTTCTTCCTATTAACTAATTTGATTACAATTTCATGTACAATAAGCCTAATTTGGAGGTATTCTGAAATGCAATAGACACAATCTCTCTTTGAATGCATTTTCTCATAACTTCCAAACAAGTTTAGCTTGGGGTAGGGAAGGTATTTTTAAAATGTGATATAATACAGTTTTGAAAAAGCTTTCAACAATTGCTTGTGCGAATCTTTAAGAACAACAGTGTGCTGGTTCTGATTACTTGGGCACAATATTTAGAAGCTCAACACTGCTTTTTGCTGTTGTAGTTTGAAACCCCAGTAAAGTCTTACCCATAATAACAGACAACTAAATCCTGTTAATAAATGAAGATTGCTTAGAGCAAGGCTTGTCTATAGTGCAAGTGGCAGTGCCCTTCATTTATCTTCCATATATCATGGCCAAGTCGAAGAAAGCTGTTGGGATAAACTGTTACAGTTGCCTGTTTATTTTGTGTTACTGATGACGTTTTGCTTTTCACATATAGACCATAGTCATGTATATATTTCTTCCTACACATCAGTAGGAGAGATGATGCTGTACTGACAGTGTGTTTTGTATGTCTGTTCTCAGTATAGTATATTGAGTGAATATTAGATATTCTTGTACAGCGTAAGGGGGAAAAAATGTTACATCCAAATCTGTATTAGTTGCAGGATGTCTTTTCTTTTTAACAAACTCTTGTGACAGATTATAAGTGGGGTGTAAATTTGTTAAAATTAACAGTCTGAAATGATCCCTTTCTTTTGGTCAAATTTTAAGGTGTGTGTAAACTTGTCCTAAAAGTCTTGCTTTTCCTAAGCCCACATGAAAAAAATAAGCTCTTGATGCTTTAGTTCAGAGTAAGTTCTTGGCATCAAATCTCCCTCCATATCTTATTGCTTCAATGTTGAAGTTTGCATCAGCTACCTGAGAAAAGGAGACCAAAAAATTACTCAGAAGTACAGTAATATTGATTCTCTTTTATTAACTGAATAGATTGACATGGAGAGCAGGGACCACCCTCGGTGGCTTTAATTGCAATGGAACATTGTACCATTTATGAACTTATTAGTGTTGCATTGAGCCACTTGGCTTAAAATTAGACAGTTTTTTGATCCATTCGTCAAAACACCAAGACAAATGTACATGATTGGAAGACATGAAAAACTTTACTACATGAATGTTGGGATTTCATTTTGACCAGTTATTCTAAAACAGCAAGGATTGCTAACAAGGGACAGACAATATTTTGGGGCCTTGATTTGTTTGGTGAAAAAAGGTAAGCATTGATTTATTATTTGACATTACTTCTTATTGTCAACACACATTCACAAGGATTTAGTGCAATTAAATAGGATATTAATGAAGCTGTATCACTGATTTTTGGCATTTTTCTTGCAGATAATCTCTGTTCCATTGCTCTAACCATATTATTGTACCTTCTAGGTCCATCAGAATGTGGTGTACTAATTTTTTTATAGCATTGGGCTTGCCTCTGAGCTAGACCATGTTTATTAACTTTTTTGCAGGTGTCAGTAGTCTTATTTATTAGAAGCATGAGAAGAAGATTGTTCAGTGACTTAAGACTTCTGCATCAGTCAGTTTGATCATGTCTGATCTGTACTTCAAACTTATTTACCTGTCTTTGCTCCATATACCTTAATACCCTTACATAATAAAAGTAATTCAGTTTTTTTCTTGAAAACTTTAATCATCCCTGAATCCAAAAGTGTTTAGGAGAGAAAATTCCAGATTTCGACTACGTTTTATGTAAAAGTGCTTGTTGATTTTGCCCTTGGGATCATTCTTGATTACACTAGAGCCAATACTTTCTCTTAAAAGTCCGTTAAATACTGTGATTAATTCATCTTTCAATTCTCTATTCTTAATGAAAATTTTCATGGCTCCAATAATTTAGTAAAATTTGAGGACTTGTTAATGCCTTAGTAAATGGGTCACAAAACAGGACAACCAGGCCTTGCCCTGCTTAGCAATTTGTGTGCAAAGTATCTCAAAAGACTAGGCTGTTGAAGAACCCCTTTAGAACAGGGTGAATTCATGGAGCACCAGATCAGGATAAGATAGAGATTGGATTATCGCAGTCAGTGATTAACCCCTCAATTTAATTTTCACATTCATATAATGGGGCTGTGCACTTAGTTGACTTACCTTTTTACTCCTGCCTTTAGAACTGCAGGAGTATCTGCAGTACACTCTGCATGCTTCCCACCCCACCCACACCCCTTCCTCAAAATTGATTAATTTGCCTTATTTTATGCATAGAATGTGAGAGATGAACATAGAGGTGTAATGCATCTGAAATTGAGTTATGTGCCTTTCTGAATCAAATCAAAGCATACATACATCTGTTACGTTTCTATAAATATGCGTTTTACTTTGTAGGGTAAATTTTTACAAATTTGTAGTCCTGGGGTTGTTTTTCTTGCTGGTAGTGCGTATTAGGATTTCTGGCAAAGAATTCAACAGGTCTGCAGTGCTTTTTCATCAATAGTTGAAAATTCATTTTGGGTCATGCTGATTTCCATGCCAAATTTCCATATTGTGGTCTTGATGGATTAAGCTTTATACCAGAGTGCAGATTTGTTCAAATCTAATTGTTTGTGTATAGTTAATTTCATCAGTTAGCTGCTAAATAAATAATGCAAATGTTTGACCATGTTAGAGGATGGTTCAAGGAGATACAATTATCTTGATGTGACCTAGAAAGCAAGGTTCCTTCCACATTGAGTACCAGGACGGAAAGCTTTGCACAACACTTTTTTTTTTCCCCATAAAGAAGAATGTCAGAAAAATGAGATGCTGACTTAGGGGGAAGAATGAATGGAGGCGAGACCTGAGTAACATTTAATATGAGGATGTACTTGTCAAGTTTGATAAGTGTTGTTACAGTAAGCTTAAATTGTGTTTAATGGAAAACTCAACCTTTTAGAATGTATTTTTTTTTTTTAGTTAATGTTACTATTTTCTTATCTTGCTGGCAGGTATGTTTTTCCAACTGAGAGGGTGATAGACACCCCTTCAGTTCTTCTCTTCTCTTTCTCCCCCACCCCCCCATCATCCTCTGCTGTTCTCCAATTCCCCTTGCAGTTTGGCAAGAATGGATCAAGTGAAACCTAGGGCCTCACTTCTGTGATGTAGCACGTTGGTGTTTCAGTATACTGCGATACCAGACACAACGCTTTTGTTAATGTATTTTCACACCTGTGTAAAGCTTTTATTATGGTGCTGTTGATGCATTCTGCTTTTTCCTCAAGTTCAGTATGTAATACTTATAAACAGTGGTAACATTATGTTCAATTGTTTGCATTAATGATATTTCATCTTTCTTTGCAATAGCAAAATCATTTTAAAAATGGATCTTTATTATTTAAGAGATTATACGTAATGGTGACTAGTTCATGAAATTTTTGAGAATAGTGTATAGTCTAACTTCTATTTCCAAATTTGTGCAGAAGAAAAGCACTGTCCAAATCAGATTATACTAAACCAGATACTATTCATTTTTTAAAAAAAAAAACCTGAAGAGTAACATTTGCTCGTTATTCAAAATGCAGTAATTTTAAAACTCTCCGAAGTTACCTAGAAACCTTATTCTTGTAAGTTGCAGTAAAACCAAACAGCAGCTTAAATTCAGCTAATGAAAACAATGCTTCAGAAATTTAGCTTGCAGAATTGCCTCCTACCTAGACTTGACCAAGCTATTTAAAAGTACTTTCCTTGGTCTGTGATGTGGTCTGAACTCAGCCATGACCGTGATTGGGCAGTCTTTGAGCCTGGGCACGCCATTGCTTGGGAGTATTAAGATTCCTAACTAATGCTGAGAAGAGTGCATATTGGACGTGGGGTGAGATGTTGGACTCTGTTGTAGTGCACTGCTTGATCAAATAGTAAAATAGCAGAGTATTTTCTGTTTTCAATAAAATTAACCCAGCATCAGCAAAGAAGACACAAAATTGAGAAAAAGGAAGTACTTTCCCTTGCCCTGTTTTAAGAGGAGGCAGAATTAGTTTGGAAAATTGGTTATTCCCTTTTTTTTCTTTCATGGATGGAGGACAGAAGTGCTAGAACTGTTATTGTCTGTTCTGGTGAAAGCTGGTGCTGTAACTTGAGTACAGCTTGAAAATAAGCACTATACAGAATACACACTAATATTCTTTGGATCAGTAGAGTGGATATAACTTTGTAAAGATGTTTATAGTTGTCTTATTTTATTGCAATAAATGCAGATAAGCAAAACTGTGTGTGATTTAAGTCAACTGGCTACAAATTACACTAAAGTCATATTTCACAGATTAATTTGAAAAAAAAAAAAAAATTTACTGCTTAACATCCTTTCCTAAGGGTGGATACAAGGTAGAACGAAAATGAAATAACAATTTCTTATTTGGGATTCTTTTGTATCAAAACACATTGGCACCACTGGAGAATGATAGGTAGTGTTTGAGTCTTAGACTCTTCCACAGACAGACAGACCATCCTTCCTGAATTATGCAAGCCTCCACAGTCAAAAACCATTAATGCCGCCTTCCTAGTCTTCAAGATTGTTGCCTCCGCTCCTCAAAAGCAGTTTGCAGAAGATAGCTTTAAGCTCTTGCATCTCATCATCCATCCTCCAACTTCATCTTTACAAATCATTTGGCAGGGTGAGGATAGCCAGGTTGGGCTGCCCATCTTTGGTCCTGGCCCATTTGCTGTCATTGTGCATCTTGTCCTGTAAATGGGGAACCACACGATGTTGTGTTGTAACGATATTTCACGTGTGGCCGGCAAGCACATTGTCAGGGACAACATTTCTCAGTTTGTCTTCCAGCACCGTCCCTGTCTGGCACGCCAGCCCCCTCAAAGCCCGTGTTGCCCTGCAGAGTGGCATGCCTGTGTCAGACACGCCCTACATTTGACACACTTCACACCTTTCTATTTGGGCCTGTCTCCAAAATGCCACTAGCTCTGGCAGATCTGAGGAGGTCATTCAGTATTTTCCAGCACTGCAACCAGGTCCTCTGTACAACCCCATGACTGCACCACTTGCAATTCCATCCAGGTGGGTTTTAGCTGGCTAGGAGTTCTTTTCTGCTTTCTGACATAGTGACCTGCCTATTTCTCACAGTTTGAGGTCTCGAGGGAATCATCATACTCTGAAGCTATCCTGGGATTACTGTACCTGTCAATAGCTGGTAGATTAATATTGTCTTTCATCTGTGGGGAAATATAGGGCTAAATTTGAGTCTTAAACACTTGCTCGTATAGTAATAGGTTCATCTCATTCACGTTCTTTCTTCCCTGACAAGGGTCCTGACTGATTTGCTGCTAGCTCAAAAATCATTCCACATTCGAAATGCTTAAAGCTCACACCTGCAGTATTTTAAAGGATTTAGATATTCTTCAAACGAAGCTTCATACCCACCAAAGTGTAATTTCTGGTTCAGGTGTCACAGGGTCCCTTTAATAGATGGTCACAAATGACTTCCATTTCACAGCTCTTTCTGTCCCCAAACATCTCACCTTGTGTTAGAGTGGGCAGACTGCCCATCGTTCCACTCAGAGGTTGGCTGGTTTCCTGTTGGGCAATTGTTAATTAGATAAAAGATGCATTCCAAAGGCAACAGTGGAAGTTGGTGATCCACCCACCTCAGCATCGGACTCTTGCTCACCAATGAGCAATGTACAATTGAGCTTTCTCCTGATGAATTCCCTGTGATTTTTCTCTTGTTTATTTGACAGATGCTACATCTTGTGGTTATCTGAGACTGATGTTGGAAAAGAGACAACATGGATCTAAGCACTTAATTTTAGGAATTCCCAAGCTGCCTGTTATTCCTGCACAATGCTGAATTGTCGAACAGGGAAGGTTCAGGGGTGGACCGGTGGGGAGGTGCTGCACTTGGGGAACAGTAGTAGCACTGAAATTGGTCTTCACAACTGTCTGCCACATGACCTATCATGTTTTTCAGCTGTTTGTTAAATGATAACCAGTCTTACAAAATGAAAGAAAGAGGCTTGCCTGAGCTTGGGGTAACAGTGTGGAGCTAGAGGAACTCAGGCCAGGCAGCATCAGAGGAGCAGGAAAGTTGACGTTTTGGGTCGGGACCCTTCAGAAATCTGAAGAAAGGTCCTGATCTGAAAGGTCCAGCTCCACAACTCTGTTTTCTCTGACTCCAGCATCTGCTGTTCTTATTATCTCTTGCCTGAGCTGCGTTTGTTTCTCCATTTGGCTTCTGATTAGTGCCCTTCTTTCCTCCTAATAAGTGTTGGCGTCTGATGAATGAAAAAAAGTATGATAAGATATAGGAGCAGTAGTAGGTCATTTGGCCCATTGAGTCTACTCCTCCATTGAAAGAGATGGTGCCTGATCTGATAGTCTTCAAATTCACTTTGCCTTTTTCTCCATAAACTTTGATTCCCTTACTGATTTAAAAAAAAAAATCCGCCCATTCAGCCTTGAAAGTACTTAACAGCCCAGCCTTGCCAGCTCTCTGTGTTAAAGTATTCCATAGATTCACCACTGAGAGAAGAAATTTCTCCTCTGTCTTAAATGGGTGATCCCTTATTCTGAAATTATGCCCTCTCTTCCTAGACTTTTCCATAAGGGAAAACAGCCTCTCAACATCTACCTCATCGAGGCCGTAAGAATCTTTATATTTTATGTTTCAATAAAGTTGCGTGTCATTCTTCTAAACTCCAAGGAGTATAGGCTCAATCTACTCAATGTGTCTTCATAAGAAAATCTTCCATACTTGGAAGCAACCTAGTGAACCTTCTATGGACTGCCTTCAATGCCAGTATATCTTTCTTTTGTCCCCTAATCTAAAGCTGTTCACAATATTCTGGAGGTGGCGTAACTAGTCGCCTGTAATATTTTAACACTATTTCCTCATTTTTATACTCCATTCCCGTTGAAGAAAAGAAAGAATGGCTTACTTTCCTTTAGTAAATCCACATTTAGCCAATAACATCTTCCAGGATCAGATGAATTTAAAAACTGAAAGAACTGTGGACGCTGTAAATCTAAGACAAAAAAAGGAATTTCTGGAAAATCTTGGCAGGTCTGGCAGTATCTGTGGAGAGAAATCGGAGTTAACGTTGTGGGTCCAGTGACCTTTCTTCAGAACTGTTCTGAAGAAAGGTCAC